GGTATAGGTCAGTGCTAGTATGGGTGTTTAGCATTCATGAAGTCTTGAGTTCAATCATTAGCCATCCCCCAAATGCAAAATATCTGGGTAAATTCTCAAAGCTCATTTCTCTACAGTTCTTAATACATCTCCCTTATTAATATCTACCTAGCAAGTGCTTCTAAAATGACCAGGAAAACCTTATTCCCTAAGTCTTCATTACTTGAAAAACTTCCCACGTTTTAACATACTTTCTCAAGGAATGATCAAGCCATTCTGAATGATTCAACCAGGAAAAAAATGTGAATGTTAAGGCAAAGAATTTCACAGATCCTGCTATTTGGCTTTCTCTGACACTAAACCCTAGTGTTACAGAAAACAGCAGTACTGTAGAATTGCAAATCCAACCATTCCTATGTGGAGCAGTGACTGTTCCACAATTCATCAGGCAATACAATTATGACGGGTCTACTATGTGTGTACCACATACTCTTCTAGGAGATGAGACATAGATGAGAACAAATCAAGTAGATAAACAAATGGAAAAACAAATTCCTAGCACCCTGGAGTTCACATTCTAGACCAGGGATCAGCCCCCTATTTTCACAAACACTGTGATTTGACAGAGTCTTGCTCATTGGTTTAAGTAGAGTCTAGAGCTACTTTCATTCCACCAAGACAGTTATGTCCTTCAACTATGGTCCACTATTTCCTGGTTTTCCCACCCTCCCTCCACCATTCTCTGACCCCTCACAAGCCATTCCCCCTTCATTTTCCACTTTATAGCATGTGTCTGCAGAGGCCCTCTTTTTTCAATACTGTACAATTTTCACGACCAGCCTGTGTCTTAATGTAACCACTTCTCCCTCCTTCCTTTCCCTATTACCCACCACACACTGAATCTCAAGTACTGAGTACAAAAGATGAAAGTCATCTGAAGGATTTCTGTTGGATCTATTGCACGTTAGTAGATAATGGTACAATCTTTGGTCTTGCTTTTTTTTTTTTTTTTTTTTTTGGCAAAGGATCTAAATTTCATTTTTTGGGCATGGTCAACCCCCCCCCCCCCCAATACACACACTTATCACAAATTCAATCTCCGTGCACCTGGCCCTCAATGCATGGTGAGGAGCTTTTGTTCTGTCTTTGAATACTTACTTCTGTCAATCACCACAGGAATGAGGGAAAATGCTCTAGTTTTCTGATTCATCCATCAGACTAAAAGAGGATTTATCTCTGTCACCAGCATCTTGTACAACACCAGATACCTACTGGAAACCCATATTTTTTTGAATAAGTGAATCTCCACTTTGGTGTATTGAATCCCTAGTTTATTAGCTGGAAAGGATAAGTGAGGTAAATGAACCCCTATGCAATGTATGAAATATATATATATATATATATATTCAACCTGCTCATATTCAAAGCATGGTACTTTCTACCTCTTTCATCACAAAATATGTAAGGACAACAATTTCTTACTTTTTGTGTATTTCACAAAAGACTTGTCAGCTTTTCATAAGTCAAATCTATCTAATAATGTAGCAAAAAATCAAAGCTTTCCATCCACCATTCTTTTCCTTATTCTCCTAATCAGGATTTCTTAACCAACAGAAGAGAGAAGAAGTAGGCAAGGCAGCAGATTTTGTTGCATGGACAGAATTCCAATCCACACAGAGGCTCTGGCCTCAGCCCAGGAGCCCTCAGTTCCTTGCTACTTCTCTTCTGCCTGTGCCTCAACATTTCTATGCTATCTTGATGTAAGGGTCCCACAAAACGTCTGAGAAAGAGACCACCAAGTGACCACTCATGCAATTGGCAGAAGGAGATTTATTGAACCAGCAAGCTGGGACTCCATGCCCACTCAAGAAGGGAAAACAGCCCAGAGTCCTGAGCAGGGGCTGAGCACTGCTTAAGTACACTTTTTTTGGGAGGGCGGGG